CTCTTTCTCCTCCACCCTCTGCTTCCTGGCTGCCTTGAGCTGAGCAACTTTCTCTACCACACCCTTCACCCATTATGTTCTATCCCACTTCAGGCCCAGAGCAGGGCAGCTGGATGACCATGAACTGAGACCTCTGAAACTATGAGCCAAAATAGACTTTTCCTTTTCCAAGTTGTTCTCGTCAGCAATGCAAAGCTGACTAATAAGGGAGTGTGTGCATAGACCCTCTTTTTTTTTTTTTTTTTTTTTTGTGGTGCTGGGGATTGAACCCAAAGTCTTGGGCATGGGGGGCAAGCACTCTACCAAGCAAACTATATCTCCAGCCACAGACCTTTTTCTTTCTTTTTTTCTTTTTTTCTTTTTCTTTTTTTTATTCAAAATCTTCCATTTTCCACCAAAGAAATGACAAATTTTTTTCCCTAATTCGATCCCTGGCCCATTTAAATGACCAGCTATTTCCAAGTCTAGATTTAAATTTTTTCCATCATGAGAGACTCTCCAGGACCTTCAAATGACCAGTCCTGTTGAAGCACGGAATTTGTGATATCTGCACATGGTTAGAAATAACATTCCTGCCACAATTTGAAATGAAACACAGTGACACCTGGCCTCTGAAAGTGCCTTCAAACCTGATGTCACACAAACTTTCTCAGCCCAACTTGCTTCTGCCTCCTATTCCAGTTGGCGCCTTTAGCTGCATTTGAGTAATCTGGGAGAACCTGGGGAGGAAGGGCGAGATGGCAAAAGCTTGAAGCCATCTGTTTGGAGTTAATGTTAGGAGCTCTCTTATCTTTCCGAGAACTGGAAAATCCTGAGGGAAATAAGTAATACATGGACTAAGAAATCTCTATTGGTCTTTTTTGGTAAGAAAATAAAAAGTGGAATTTTCCAATGTCCCCTCTCTGACCTTTGTGTCCTCAAGAGCATCTCAATTGGTATCACTGGTCTGGAGGAAGATTTACTCCTTGGTTTCAGGGAAACCTTTCAAAAATATTTCTTAGGGCTGGGGATGTAGCTCAGTGGTAGAGTGCTTTCCTAGCTTGAGCAAGACCCTGGTTTCAACCCCCAGCAACACACACACACACACACACACACACACACACACATCATACCTAGTGATATAACTATACTTAATAAAATTTGAAAACAGTGAAAAAACATTGCATTTTGATTATGTTTTCCCACTCTTTTATTTTTATGTTTTCAGTGCTAAGGATCAAACCCAGGGCCTTGTGCATGCTAGGTAAGCTCTTTACCACTGATCTGTATCCCCAACACTCCAAAGGCATCTTTTCTTTTCAAACATATCTGGGGAAGGGAGCCAGTGGGGGTATGACTCAGTGGCAGAGTGCTTGCCTAGCATGTGTGAGGCCCTGGGCTTAATCCCCAGCACTGCCATACAAACAAATAAGCAAAAAGAACAAAACCAAGCAAAACTCACCCCACCCCCCAAAAAAAGAAAAAAAAAATCTGTTTTGCCCTGCTGTCTTCTGCCATGTAAGGACCTAAAGCTTGCATGCTTTCTGGAGGATGCAGCAACAARGCGCCATCTAGAAAGGAAACGTCAGATCCCTCAATAGGCACTGTACCTGTTAGTGTCTTGGTCTTGGACTTCTCAGTCTCACAATCTATGAGAAACAAGTTTCTATTGTTATAAATTACCCAGCATCTGGTCTTTTGTTATAGCAGCATAAACAGAATAAGGTAAATACCATTTTATTTTACTTATATGACCCATGTCATGGTTTGGATCTAGAATATCCTCCAAAAGCTCATGTGTTGAAGGCCTGTCCCCAAAGCAGCAATGTCCCAAGATGGGGCTTTTAGGAAATGATTAGATCAAGAGGGCTCTCACCTCATCAGTGGATTAATCCATGGATAGCTAAATGAACTACTGGGAGGTGGCAGAAAACTGTAGGTCATTGCAGCCAGGCACATGGGGACTACTTTTTGTCCCTGGCCTCCTTTCCACCCGCTCTCTGCTTCCTGGCTGCTATGAGCTAAGATGCTTTCCTTTACCATGCCCTTCTGCCTTGATATTCTGCTTTACGTCAGGCCCAAAGCAATGGAGCTGGCTAAACAAGGACTAAAACCTCTGAAACTGTGGGCTAAAATTAATCTTTTCTCTTCTAAGTTGTTCATATCAGGTATTTTGGTCCCAGTGATGAAAAGCTGACTAACACAACCCACAATGAAGGAAACTCTAGATTTGGAATCTAACTTGGCAAGATAATATTCAGATGATTACAATTGTGTCATTTAACAATGGGGATGTTTTAAGAAATGTATTGTTAGATGATGCCATCGTTGTGAGAACATCATAAATCACACTCACACAAAATTAGGTGGTAGATGAGGTCCATCATTTGACATGGTGTATCATCCGAAAAGAAGGGTAATAGACATCACGTTCCTGGAATGCCACTCTAGTTCCCAAAAACCTAGCCAAGTTGAGGGAACAAAGAGAAAAAGCCTGAGCCAGGAATGCCTAGATAAACCAGAAGGWCACTGACTTTGTCYCATGTATGCTGGGAACTAGGACAAGCTAGTGTTATCTGTAGACAGGTGCTTTTTGCACCTACATCAGGACAGTTACTCCCYGGGATGCTGGTCTTATAAACAAACCAAGCAAGTTAATGCTGATGATGGCACTACTTCTGCAGCTTAACATATACAACCCCTCTCTCAGTGGCGACTGGAATGGAACTGAAAAGGATACATGTTATTTATGCAGCAGGCTACCACTGGACGAAAGGAAGAGAAGGCACTGCTTAGCAGAGAATAGTGACAGAGATGCTATCGGTTCAGCCTGTTGCCACTGAACCTTTTCTGTAAGCATTTCTCCACAAAGCATAAAGCCTAATGCCCCATATACTATTTCTGAGTATTTTCTTTGGCCTCTCCACAATCTATCCACCACCCTGGTACAACTGAGTGGTGGACACACATGGCCTTTTGACGCAATCAAGAGATGCAGTTAAATACAAGATATATGAGGCTGCTGCTGTCATAACACAGAATACTATTTTGCAACTTTCATGTGTGTGTGTGTGAGAGAGAGAGAGAGACAGAGAGAGAGAGAGAGACAGAGAGAGAGATACATACTTGGGATTGAGCCCAGGGACACTTACCACTGAACTACATCCCTAGCCCTCTCTTTTTATTTTTGAGACAGGGTCTCACTAAGTTGCTACACACACACACACACACACACACACACACACAAGACTCAAGAATAGAATATTCTATCCTTGTTCCTCATTTTAAGAGATATGCTTTCAAACATTTACCATTATTGGGATGTATGCTGTAGGAATTTTTTTTTTTTCTTGTCATCGCTGCTGAGAATCAAACCTAGGGTCTCACACATGCTATGCAAGGCTCTTTGTGTGTGTGTGTGTGTGTGTGTGTCTGTGTGTGTGTGTGTGTATCAGGGATTGAACCCAGGGGCACTTAACCACTGAGCTACACCCCTAGCTCCTTTTTATTTTTTAAGTTTTGAGATTGGGTCATGCTAAATTGCTTAGGGCCTTGCGAAATTGTTGAGGCTGGCTTTGAACTTGCAATCCTTCTGCCTCAGCCTTGTGAGTTGCTGGGATTACAGGCCTGGGCCACCATGACTGACCCTATGCAAGACTTCATCACTGAGCTATACTCCCAGCTCAAGTCCCCTGGCTTTCAGTCTCATAAATAAAACCCCTGTCCTGCCTACCCTCAGGATTGGATGAAAACTCAAACGAATAAATTTGGTAGAACCACTTGGCAAAGTAGTGCATTATTCACACATTAARGGGGTTGTTGTTTATTGCTACTAAGATTGGTAGAGGCAATGTGGGATGACGGAAATTGTTAGTAATTTGAAGATAATGGAATTTAGATCCACTCCCAGCCATCGGCAACACCTTGTACTTGTTACTCTAATCTTCAAGTAAGACAGGCAAAGTACTTGGCATATACGGAGAGCTCAGAAAAATTTTGCCATTACTAAAAGAGATGTGGTTTGAAAAGCATTAATTACTCCGTAAAAGGAAGCGGTAAATCTCCCTTGGGTTCGAGACTTCGAGGTTCCCAAAGCAGCATACTACCCAAGTTCGCASAGGTGGGTAAGAAAGGGGGCTGCATAGAAACAATCCTTGAGGGGCTGGGGATGTGGCTTAAGCGGTAGCGCGCTCGCCTGGCATGCATGCGGCCCGGTTAGATCCTCAGCACCACATACAAACAAAGATGTTGTGTCTGCCGAAAACTAAAAAATGAATATTAAAAAAAAAAAATCTGTCTTGTCTCTCTCTCTCCTCTCTCTTAAAAAGAATGAAACAATCCTTGAATTAGCACCGTCAGGCTTCCATGGAGCGCCAAGGTGCACCCAACATCCTTAAAGTTGGTAAGAAATGGCAAAATGACTGGGAATGGGCAGACCTGGCCATTAACATTCTCTTGAGGGCTCCAGCTCCCGAACCCGACCGGGAGAATCGGTGCTGGAGCTCCCGTCTCATCGACCTGGTTGGGGGTAACGTGTGCGTTCCCCGCTGCAGTCGCGAGGAGGCGCTTGTTCCACTTCTTGCCCTGCACGAGTCCAGTTTCGCGCACGCGCGATTCCTTTTCTTTAGTCCCTCCCGCTCCCTCCCAGCCAGTTACGTTTGACCAGTTACGTTTGTGCGGCGTTCTCCACGCATTCTCTGACGTAGGGAGCGGCGGTGGGGAGCGGAGAGGAAGTCTAGCACGCTTAGTGTTGGAGGAGGGAGGGGTGAGAGGAAAAACCGGGGCCGGAAGTGGAATCATTTCGCTTAACTCCTGGGCGCCCGTGATACGCAAAGGAGAAGGCGCCGGTCTGGCGGGTGTGGCCTCTGGAGGCGGAGGGCCCTGTGATTGGTCCTGGGCTGTGGCGACGGCGACGATTGGCCCCTGAGTGTGGAGCTAGGTGAGAATGGATGGTTGCCGTTAAAATTCAAAAGTGGCGGGCGTGGCGCGGGGCTGCTAGCCGCSGAGATCCGTGGCGCGCGTGCTCTGTGTGTCGAGCTGGCGCGAGAACGCGGGTCCCGGGAATCCCGGCGCCCTGTCCTCTTCCATTGTACTCAGTGGAGTGCGTGAGGCCGAGGTGGACATGGAGTCGCAGGTTAGTAGAGTGGCGCGCTTCTCCGGCTGGGATGAAAAATAACTGCCGGCCACCTGATGCTGCCGAGTCCGCGGCACCCGGCCGGCCTGGGTCATGCCTGCCTGGAGGGCGGAGATCCGTGTGGCCCTGCGACCGTGGAACGGGCCAAGGGGGCTGTGGAGACCGCAGGGAGCAGTTCCAGGAAATCGGAGGCGACGGCTGTCTAGCGGTCTCCAGCTTCAAGTCTTGGCGGCCGGGACTCCCATTCATACCTCCAGGATTTCCCATTTCGAATTCTCAGTCTGGTCTGGTGCGTTTCGCCTCTCGATTCTTAGGATTGTAGTGTGTGAGAAGGGAGAGTTCTGAGATGACCTCTGCCTCTGGGGAAATGGTGTCTGAGGCCCACATCCCTGTCGTTGAACTTTTGTGTTGTCTTTCTGCTTCGAGGTGTTTAGAAAGGAGAGAGAAGGAATGGGGTAATATGGACTGAAGGATTCCATCTTCCCTCTTTACCTAAATTTTGTYGAGATTTCAGCCCAGTGGGGCTGGTTAACTTTAACTCTCTTATCAATGCTACAACCTCTCAGTGGCAATATGTGTATGTATATGACAGTGTGTACTGACCTCTGGTGCCAGGAAATGTCTCCTGCCTGAATCCTTTGTTTACTATACTTTCACGTTTGTATTTACCCAAAGTCAGGATTCACCCTGAAGAGGTTCTTTGTACTCTGACAACCAAAGAGCAGTACAGTGTAATGTGATTGAAAAATAGTAACAACTCCTCAGTTCTGTTCTCCAAATACTTACTGAGCACCTAGTATATGCTGGACACAGTTGTTGGGACTTAGGATGTAGCAGTGAATAGGACACATCAGTCTTCTTGCCATGCAAGAGGCCCTGAGTTCAGTCTGCAGCAGCAACAGAAAAGAGATTCCAGCATCATGGAGCTGCCATTCTGTGAGAAGACATACAGAAACTGTAATAGAGTATTAAATAGAGTGGTCTCAGTAAGTCCCACTGAAAGTTTAAGAGTTGATTGAAGGCCTGAAGAAAATAAAGGAGTTAAACAAGTTGATATTGAGAGAATCCATCAGAGCAGAGTCCCTAAAGAGTTGCACAGCAAGTGAGCAAGTGGGAAAGTTGTGGGCCTGTGAGATAATGAGGATTAGGGTKGCTGATCAAGTTTGTTTCTGCAGGAACTAATGTAAGGACTTTGGGTTTTGCTCTTAGTAAGATGGAGATTCATTGGATGTAAGTTTTAGGCAAAGAGAGATAAGGTATTAGATTTAAGAGGATCCCACTGCTGCATGGAGATTATACTGTAAAGGGGACAAGGAAGGAAACAAGGAGATCTGTTAGGACATTGCCTTGTAACAGAGTCTCTCAGCCTTGATTTATTGTAGGTTTACTGTGTGTGTGGGGGGGCTGTCCTGTTCATTTTTGATGCTTAGCACCCTTGGACTCTACCCACTAGCTGCTAATAGCAACTCCTGCCTAGTCATAATAGTCTAAATGTCTTCAGATATTGTTAAATGTCATCTGGGGGGTAAAACTACCCCCAGTTGAGAACCACTGGAGTATGATAATCCAGAGTGTTAGCCGTGGAAAAAGTAATAACAAGTGGTTGGGTTCTGGGTGTGTGTAAAAATTTTATTTTGGTGGCAGGGTACCAGGGATTGAACCTAGGGGCACTTAACCACTGAGCCATATCCCCAGCAGTTCTTATTTTTTATTTTGAGACAGGGTCTCGCTAAGTTGCTTAGGGCCTAGCTAAGTTGTTGATGCTGGCATTAAACTTGCAATCCTTCAGACTCCTGAGCCACTGGGGTTACAGGCATGCACCACTACACCTGGCTCATAAAATATATGTATGTATGTATGTGTGTATGTATTTAAAACAATTTTTTTAATTGTAGATGGACACAATACCTTTATTTATTTATTTTTTATGTGATACTGAGGATTGAACTCAGTGCCTCACATATGTGGGGAAAGTGTTCCACCACTGAGCTATAACCCCAGCCCCTAGGTATATTTTGAGGACGTAAGACAATGAAAGGACTCTGGGCTTTTTGGCTTGATCAACTTAATGATGGAGTTATGTCAACTGATATGGAGAAAATTGCAAGAGGAACAAGTTTGAATGGGTGATGTATAGCTAAAGGTTAGGTATTAACTTTTTTTTTTTTTTTCCTATTTGGTACTTGGGATTGAATCAGGGGGCACCTTACCACTGAGCTACAGCCCTTTTTGTTTTTTGAGTCAGGGTCTCTCTAAGTTGCTAAGGCTGGCCTCAAACTGCCCTAGCCTCCTGAGTCATTGGAATTATAGGTGTGTGCCTCCACACCTGGCTAGTTATTAGACATCTAAGTGAAGTTGAAGAGTCAGTTTGATGTTAAGTTCAGAAGTGAGGTCTGGGTTAAAGATATAAATTTGGGAACTCTCAGCATATCAGTGGTATTTGAAGCTATGGGAGTGGATTATAATGAGAGACAGAGCATAGACGATTATTAATGTTTAGAAAATTACTGGCGTATTTGCGGACAACAGTTTTGGTGGAATGGTAGGAATGARAACCTGATTGAAATGGATTTAGAACAGAACTTGGACACAGTGACTATTTTTTTTTTCTTTTTTAGTTGTAGATGTACATAATACCTTTATTTTATTTATTTATTTTTATGTAGTGCTGAGGATCAAACCCAGTGCCTTACACATGCCAGGCAAGCGCTCTACCACTAAGCTATAACCCCAGCCCCAACAGTGAATACTTTAAACAGTACTTTTTAGTTTTTGTAGTTATAGATGGACAGCATGCCTTTATTTGTTTATTTTTATGTGGTGCTAGGATTCAAACCCAGTGCCACATATGTGCTAGACAAGTGTTCTACCACTGAGCTACAGCCTCAGCCCTAGACAATACTTTTGAGGAATTTTACAGCAAAGAGCAGCAAGGAAAAGGGTAGTAGCTGRCTAGGAAAGCATGGTCAAGAGACTTTTTTAGGTTGGAAAGCATGTTTGTGTTTTATACGACTGGATTGCTCTATTAGAGTGTGAGAAGCTGATGATGTAGAGGGGAGAAGGGAGGGTTGCTGGAGCCACGTTCCTGAGCTGGCAAGGAGGGTGGGATCTGCATGGGGAAAAGGGGTTGCCTTAGGAGCAGTCATCCATCTGTGATCTTGTGGCAAAGTGGATTTAAGAGGGGTTGGATGAATATCTGTTCTTATCCTTCTCATTCTGGAAAGTTGAGGATCGTAGCTTTTTTTTTTTTTTTTTAATACTCTTATTTGTTTATTTTTATGTGGTGCTGAGGATTAAACCCTGTGCCTCACATATGCGAGGCAAGCACTCCGCCACTGAGCCACAATCCCAGCCCAGAGGATCATAGCTTTATAGATGGGAGAAAAATAAAAAACTGAATTATGAATAAACAAATCTTTAAACATCTTTCCTTTCTTCATCTACCTTCCCTTCTTTCTTCCTTTTGGTTCTGGGGATCAAACCCAGCGCCTCACACCTGCTAGACTAGTGCTGTACCACTCTTCAGCTCCAGAATACATTTTCTGCATCCAAGGGCATAGTTCTGCAGGAGATCTAAAATAGTAGTATATAGAGGAAGAAGGGCACACATAGTGCTTGATGTTGAAATATTTAAAAAGAAAAATTGTTTTTCATACTATATTTGGTTACACTAAATTAAAATAAGCATTTGTGGGCTGGGGTTGTGGCTCAGTGGCAGAGCACTTGCCTTGCACATGTGAAGCACTGGGTTTGATCCTCAGCATCACATAAAAATAAACAAAATAAAGATATTGTGTCCATCTATAACCAAAAAAAAAAACTTTTTTAAAATAAGCATTTTTTTTGTGCATGAATGGGAAAAAAATCCACCTCCTTTTTATTTGTATGGTTTGGCTGTTTCACCGTTTAAATATTCCTTCACTGGTAGACATTTAGTTCCTTCAAAAATCATAGAGTATTGGCTGGGGTTGTGGCTCAGCCGTAGAGCACTTGCCTCGCACATGCGAGACCCTGGGTTAAATCCTCAGCACCAAATAAAAATAAATGAATAAAATAAAGGTATTGTGTCCAAGTATAACTAAAAAATAAATATTTTTTAAAAATCATAGAGTCTTAACCATGTAGCAGACATTGTAGTAGAGCCTGTGGTTAGTTATGAACAAAATAGACAAGTTCTTATGGTGCTCATAATCTAATGTAGGGAAAGACAATAAATAAACTACAACTAAAACAAAACCAAGATATCAGGTTGTTTCAAATTTTATAGTGATACTCAACGACTTTTTTTCCTCTTTCTCTTATGATACTGGGAATTGAACCCAGGGTGCTCTACCACTCAGCTACATCTCCAGCCCTTTTAAGTTTTATATTTTAGACAGGGTCTCACTAAAGTTCCTGAGGTTGACCTTGAGCTTGGAATCCTCCTACCTCTGCCTCAGCTGGAATTACAGGTATGCTACCACCATGACCAGCTTGAACATTCTTGAATATACCTCGCTGTATCACATGTAGCTCAAGCTCCCTTTCCCAAAACTGAATGTAGCATCTTTTAAAACACAACCCTATCACCAGAGGTGGTGGTGTGCATGCCTGTGGTCCTAGTGATACAGAAGACAAAAGGAAAGAGAATCGGAAGTTCAAGGTCAGCCTTGGCAACTTAGTGAGACCCTGTCTCAAAATAAAAAATGAAAAGGACTGGGGATGTAGCTCAGTGGTAGAGTTCCCTTGGGCTTAATCTCCAGTACCACAAAAATGGAAAGGGGAAAAAATAAATAAGTAAACCCAGCCCTTCTGGTACTCTTGGATTTCTCTGTATCCAAATGTAATTGTACATTACAATAGTATATGAATCTACAATGATCTTTTTTTTTCCAGCGTTGGGAATATAACACATGCTAGACAAGTGCTTTGCCACTGAGTTATATCCCAACCCTACAATGACTTTAGAATTTAAAAACAACATAACCAGCCCTTTCTCCTGTGATATGGATAATGGAACTGTAGTAGACCCCTGGGAGTCAGCCTGAACTCCTCACCTTCCTCCCTGCCTGTGTTCTTTTCCAAGTCAGTTCCTAGTTAGATCAGTAATTCATTTCTCGTGTTTTGGCCCCTATTCTTCATCCCCACTGCCCAACTTTACATCTGGTACGTTAAATTCTCTCATGTGTCCAGAATGGTAAGAATCATCTATGTCCTTGGGAGAATTGAGAAAATAGTATTCTGTAATTTTAATTCTTGTTGAGCCCCAGTTGGGAACGTCTGCCTGAGAGAGTAAGCTCTGGAAAGGCAGAGACTTGCTGTTCATTACTCCATCCAGCACCTAGAGCAACATCTGGACATCAGCAATGCAGATGTCCAGCAGATCTGTGGATGAATGATATAGTTTCTAATATTATACCCTTCTTCACATTGCTCACAGTTCACTTTTGTTGTTATTGTTGCAGATGGGACAGAATACCTTTATTTATTTTTATGTGGTGCTGAGGATTGAACCCAGTAGCTCATACATGCTAGGCAAGCACTCCACCACTGAGCCACAACCCCAGCCCCACAGTTCACTTTTTTAATACCAATGTCGTCATTCTCTTTTAACTAAAAATCATCAGGCTCCCTCCTGCCTTCAGGGTCCAGATCCTTTACATGCCAGATTGACCAGCACAATTCCCTTCTGTTGTTATCTGCTCACTCTCTATGTACAGCCTATGCGTTCAACTGAGTAGAAGAGATTGTCATTTATTACATACACCCTCCTCACTCTCTACCTGGAATGTTTGTCCTTGACTTAAACTCATTAGGCCAACTCTTCCTTATCCTTAAGACTACCTAAAGATACTCTTCTCTATCCAAATGGGATGCCCACCCCTTTCTCTGGTCTGGTTTTAGTACTGAAATTTCTCTGTCCCAAGAACCCCTTAGTTCCCAGGAAACCAAAATGATTGGTTACTCTGGATGTGAGCAGCCATGGAGTGAGCATAACCCCCAGGTACTGAATTAAGCTACTTTAAGGAGAGGATCTCTCTTTTCCCATGCCAACGTTATGACTCTAAATTGGTCTTTCTACTTACTTGACTTCCCCATGCAACTCAGTATATTTACAACTGAAACATTTAATTATTTATTTGGTACCAGGAATTGAACCCAGCAGTACTTATCCACTGAGCCACACCCCCAACACTTTTTTTTTTTTTAATTTTTAGGCAGAGTCTCACTAAGTTGCTGAGGTTGGCTTTTAAAAACTAGCTGGCTTTTCACAGTATGCAGAGATAAAGTTTAAACTTCTTAGACTGGTATCACAGTCTTATAGGGCAGCATGGTCCAACCAGGCTGGATTCTAAATCTGTTTTACCTCTCAGTGCCTTCCTTCCATCATCTGTAAAACTAATAATTGGCACTAATAACTAATTAGTGTTATTAACTAATAATATTCCCTCAGTGGGCTGCTATGAAGATAAAGTGAGTTGATGCAGATAAAGCATTTAAAACATTGCTCAATAAATTCTGCCTGCTCATTTCAACCAGTCTTCAGTCTTCTCTGTCTTCCATTTTCTGTCCAACATCTGTCTAGCTTTTCTCTTAGGTTGCTCCCACTTTTATGTCATGCCCCTCTTCTGTCCATTGCTATTTTGCTGGCACAAAATCTGAGTCTAGCATTTGGGACAGGTGGTACTCAGTTAGTGCTTACTAATGGTGACACTGGGAATTAAGGTTGGGGGGTTAAAATGGGGAGTTCACAGGGAATTTGTGCTCCTGGATATTATCTTTTGGGGGGAAGTACCAGGGATTGAACTCAGGGGCAACCACTCAGCCATACCCCCAGCCCTATTTTGGGTCTTACTGAGTTACTTAGTGTCCTGCTTTTGCTGAGGCTGGCTTTGAACTCACAATCTTCCTGCCTCAGCCTTCTGACCTGGTGGGATTACAGGCGTGTGCCACCATGCCTGGCCTGGATATTATCTTAAAGGTCACTTTTCCCAGCAGAGGTGCCCCTTATTGGAAGTGAAAAAGAATATAGAGTTGAAGACACCGCTGGTCAAGGGTCCTTCCCAACTGCCTCTCTCAAGAAGTAGGCTCAAGAGGGGGCCTAACCAGATGGAAGATGCATTGGAGCCTGCAAAGGTGAGCTGGGTGTGGAGAGCTGTGCATGTATATATGTGTGAGTGAGGTGTGTGTGTGTGTGTGTGTGTGTGTGTGTGTGTGTGTGAGAGAGAGAGAGAGAGAGAGAGAGAGAGAGAGAGAGAGAGAGAGAGAGAACCAATAAGGGAAGTGACTGTGGACCCTGTCTTTACCTTTCTCCAGAAACGGACACGAGGTGTGGGCGCAGCAACCAAAATCAACACGTCCCGCTCCAGAGTACCACCCCTCACCACAGTACCACAGACACAAGGCCATACTGCAGGTGGGTTCTAGGGGTGGACAGGAACCACGGGCATGGGTGTGCAGTGCTTGTCTACTCATGCTTTTCTTTTTCAATTTCAATCTGTTTTGAATAGGTAATAACATTTTACTTGGTTCAGAATTCCAAAGGCAGGAAGAGGTTATACAGTAAAGCTTCTTTCACACCTTTGTCCTCTAGGTACCAAGTTTACTTTCCCTGGGGCAACTCCATGTCCTAGGGATATTCTTTGGGTATATAAGCAAATATGGACATCATCTCCCACTTTTTTTCACATGAATAATAGTATACTTTACATATGGTTTTATCACTCTATTCTTTTTCACTTGTCTCACTCCACCTTGCTTCTTGGCATGGTGAGTAATTTCTGTCCTAGGAGGGGTGCCATCAGGAGCTGGTCATATGTAAGGGATGAGAGAAATTATCTCTGATCTTTAGGAAAAAGTGTGCTCCGTGCTTCTGGCTCAGACAGTACATGATTGTTACGCATTTCCTCTCTCCCTTCTCTGGATAGTTCAAAAAGTTCCCAAGAAGACAGCACCCCGTTGTTCCACAGCTATTACTGCAGGTAATTGTGCTTAAGAGCTGGGGCTGAGAGGGAATTGGGGTATGTGTTAAGGGAAAATGGTGGAGGTAGAAGGACGTTGGTTCTACAATTCTTTTGTCAACTTCCAATTCTCTAGTGTTGAAGAACCAGAAGCCAGTCCCTGCTGTTCCTGCCCAGAAACCTGGCCGTAGGTGACAAACATAATCATTGGGTGAAAGGCTGGGATAGGGAAGAGAAGGTGGTGAGTGCCCAGAAAAATCCATTGGTCTCTTCCCTATTTAGAGGGGAAAGAGATWGGTATGGCATCGGGTGTGGAGGCCCTGAAGGCCAGAAGGGAGGAAGGATAGAGAGCCAAGATTCCATTGACTTTTGTCTTTTTTGTGTCCATGTTAGCAACAGCTGTTCCTCCCATAGCGGGAGTAAAGAAACCCAGCAAACGTCCTGCCTGGGATTTAAAGGGTCAGTTATGTGACCTAAATGCAGAGTTGAAACGCTGCCGTGAAAAGACTCAAACATTGGACCAAGAGAACCAGCAGCTGCGGGAACAACTTAAAGAGGCCCAACAGCAGRCCAAGGACTTGGGGACAGAACGCAGTACCCTAGAAGGGGAGTTGGCCAGGGTACGCACCCAGGCTGAGCAGGGCCAACAGCAGCTTGGGAATCTGAGTGCCCGTGTCCTAGAGCTGGAAGAAAGGCTGGGCACACAGGAAGGTTTAGTGCAAGTCCTCCAGAAAGAACAGTTGGAATTACAGGAGGAACGGAGGGGGCTGAAAACCCGATTGGAGGAGCAAGAGGTAAAGGCAGGATTCTCCAAGTGCAAGCCCCCTTTCCTTGCAGAGGTCATGCCCTCTTTCCTTTCCAGCCTCCCTTGAAGTCTCTTTGGGCCTAGAACTCCTGAACCCACCTATCTTTAGCACTATGCTTCTCTCCTCTACCCCAGTCCTTTATTTTTTTAATTTTATTTATTTTTTAGATTAGATGGACAGCATGCCTTTATTTATTTATTTTTAATGTGGTGCTAAGGATCAAATCCAGTGTCTTGCACATGCTAGGCAGGTGCTCTATCACTGAGCTACAGCCCCAGCCTCCCAGTTCACTTCTGACTATTGCTTTCTGCCCCAACTTCTCCCTATGCCTCCTGTGTATCTCTCACATGGATCTGGGTCTTGCCCTAGTCATCTACTTTCCTATTTTTTTTCAGTTCTCCAGCTTGAATACAAATCTCTGTAGAAATCTTTTCCCTTGTGCTTTGAACTCCTTGGTGAACTCCAACTAGACTGAATTACTCGCAGTTTCCCAAATGACTCATTCTCACTTCTGGCACTTTGCATGTACACTTTTCTCTCTTTTATTTATTTATTTATTTATTTAATATGGGGGATTGAACCCAGGGACACTTAATTTCTGGGTTACATCCCCACCCTAACACTTTCACTTTCCTCTTTCTGGAAAATTCTTTCTGTATTCCATCTTTCCCTTGGTTCACTCCTATAGTTTTGGGTATCAGCCTAGATATCTTCCTCATGCCCCTCCTTGATATTCCCATAGCACTTTCTATCCTAGTACTATGATTCCTTCTTTTTCTCTTCTTTCCTTGTACTATAATTTCCCTCTTTTCTTTTCCCATTTTCTTTTCTTCTTTTCATCCTTCTCACATGGTAGAAAATCATTCTATCACAGAGCTACATCCCCAACCCCTGATTCCCTATTTTCTTATCTCTTTCTCTACCAGACTAACACCTCGGGGGCCAAGGAGCCCACCTCCACACCTCTCCCCACCATTTCATTTTTGTTACATGACTTTTTTTTATTTTTGGTTGCATATCACCCTGTGTGTGTGTTCTGTTTTGGGCAGAGGAGGCTACAGGCATCAGAAGCAGCTCTGTCAAGCAGCCAAGCAAAGGTGGCATCTCTGCAGCAGGAGGCTGCAACCCAGGCAGCCTTACTGGCTGAGCGAGGAGACCGTCTCCATGGGCTAGAGATGGAGCGCCGGCGACTGCATAACCAGCTGCAGGAATTGAAGGGCAATATCCGGGTATTCTGCCGGGTTCGTCCTGTCCTTGAAGGGGAATCCACCCCATCCCCTGGCTTCCTCTTGTTTCCTCCTGGCCCCAGTGGGCCCACTGATCCTCCAACTCGCCTTAGCCTGGCCCGATCTGATGATCGGCGTGCAACCCTGAGTGGGGCACCAGCCCCCACTACCCGCCACGATTTCTCCTTCGACCGGGTATTCCCACCAGGAAGTAGGCAGGATGAAGTATTTGAGGAGATCTCCATGCTTGTCCAGTCCGCCCTGGATGGCTACCCAGTATGCATCTTTGCCTATGGTCAGACAGGCAGTGGCAAGACCTTCACAATGGAGGGTGGGCCTGGGGGAGATCCCCAGTTGGAGGGACTGATCCCTCGGGCCCTGCGGCACCTCTTCTCTGTGGCCCAGGAGCTGAATGGCCAGGGCTGGACTTACAGCTTTGTGGCAAGCTACGTAGAGATCTATAATGAGACTGTTCGAGACTTGCTAGCCACTGGGACCCGAAAGGGCCCAGGGGGCGAATGTGAGATTCGTCGTGCAGGACCAGGAAGTGAAGAGCTTACTATCACCAATGCCAGATATGTCCCTGTCTCCTGTGAGAAAGAGGTGTGTACCTATGGGGACTGGAACAGGAGAATGGGGAAGAGAGGGCAGGGAGTTACAGATGGAGCAGGAAAAAATTGAAAGATAAAAGATGAGTTATGGGGGCTGGGGATGTGGCTCAAGCGGTAGTGCACTCGCCTAGCGTGCGTGTGGCCCGGGTTTGATCCTCAGCACCACATACAAACGAAGATGTTGTGTCCCCTGAGAACTAAGAAAAAATAAATAAATGTTAAAAAAAAAAAAAAGATGAGTTATGGGGTGGGTTATCACATCAGTTCTGACTAGTCAGCTGTAAGGTGACAGACCTGCCTTAGCAATCAGGGAGTAGAGAGGAAGGGATAAGAGTCACTCAGCTCCTGCTGGTTGCATCATAGGTCTCTTCCTGCTGTGTGTCTTGTTAAGTTCACTGTAGCCAAGCTGGCCTTTTGGCTGTTCTTCAAACCACGTCATAATCTTGGTTCAGAATCTTTTCTTGAACACTCCTCCCCTGGAGATCTCAAGGCAGTAGGCCATCTGCACTCTCCTCTCTAAACTGCACACTCTACCCACCTTCACAAAACTTGTTCTCTGGTTTCGCTCCTTAGCATTCTCAGACATATGGTATATTTTATTTATTTTGTCCTTTCATTGATTAAAAAAGAAAGCTTCAGGGTATTAGGGGCTGGCATTCATTGCCACACCTGACAGTATCCTCTCTGACTTCATGAATGCCTTTGCCTCTTGGCTGTTCCCCATTCCCAGGTGGAGACACTGCTTCATCTGGCCCGCCAGAATCGGGCTGTGGCCCGAACAGCCCAGAATGAGCGATCATCACGCAGCCACAGTGTGTTCCAGCTGCAGATCTCTGGAGAGCATGCTGCCCGAGGTTTACAGTGTATAGCCCCCCTTAATCTTGTGGACTTGGCTGGAAGTGAGCGGCTAGACCCTGGCTTAGCCCTTGGCCCAGGGGAACGGGATCGTCTTCGGGAAACACAGGCCATTAACAGTAGCCTGTCCACACTGGGGCTGGTCATCATGGCCCTGAGCAATAAGGTGGGAATGGGAACAAGGGCAAGTGAGACTTGGGGAGCCACTGGGGATGGCGCATGCAGAATACTGCTCTATCCTAACAGCCAGTCCCTTCTTTCCACTACCAACCCTCTAGGAGTCTTATGTGCCTTACCGGAATAGCAAGCTCACCTATCTGCTACAGAATTCTCTGGGTGGCAGCGCTAAGATGTGAGTGAAAAGGGCAGCTGGAAGGGATCTGGTAGGAACTATGATGATATTGAGGTGACGGGTAGGAAGGGGGAACAGTGGTGGCCTGTCAGCCTCTGCTTACCACTAATGCTGGTTGGACCTTTTATCTTTCCACAGGCTCATGTTTGTGAATATTTCCCCTCTAGAAGAGAATGTCTCGGAGTCCCTCAACTCTCTCCGCTTTGCCTCCAAGGTGCGATTACTACCAAGCCCAGTCCTTATCAGAACCCCTGGCTAGATGTAAGGCATCTCCATCCCAACCTCCTCTTCTCTCTGCTTGAGAGGTAGAGGCATTTATAAAAAAAAGGATTTACTTTTTTTTTGGTACTGTGGATTGAACCCAGGGGTGCTTAATCATTGAGCCACATCCCAGCCCTTTTTATTTATTTTGAGATAGGGTCTCACTAGTTGTTTAGGGCCTCCCTAAGTTGCTGAGGCTGTCTGAACTTGCAGATCTCCTGCCTCAGCCTCCTGAGTCGCTGGGATTACAGGCATGTGCCACCCTGCCCTGTTTGCATTAAGTTTTTAAAAATAGGTGACTAGGGGCTGGGGGTGTGGCTTAGTGGTAGAGTGCTTGCTTGGTATATGTGAAGCCTGGGTTCAATCCTTGTCACTGCAGAAAACAAAAACCAAATAGGTGACTAAATGGTCAAAACTATATGTTTCAAAAAGAAGCTATATGCATATGCATTTCTTATTGCCTTATGTGTGTATATAGTTTTGTGCCTTGTTTGTAATATTATTCCTCATCAGCACTCAGGGATCATAGAATTATTTTTAGGTCTGCCTAGCATTCCACTGTGAGGATAATACCAAAATTTATCCACCAGTTCCCTCTACTGGACACTTGGATTGTTTCCACTCACTTTCTATTATGAACAAAGCCACATTGACTAACCTTGAAAACATGTCACTTTGTCTTCTTTTAGTTACATCTGACTAGGGAAATATTGTTTGAAATGGAATTGCTAGAAAAAAGAGATAGGCTGGTTTTTCAAAGCATTCCAAATAGTGTGAAGTCAGCCTCCAAATCCCACAAGGGTCAATCAGCCCAGTGGCCATGAACTCTCAAGGACACTTAGTGTTCCTATTAGAGTTACACAAGTCAAGGGAGTTTCTGTTTCAGGGAATAAAAATATATATATATATTTTTCCCCTGAACCTAGAGCCTTTCAGTGAGTTTCTGGCATTATTTGTGGTCTGATTGTGTCTGCCCTTCTGGTGTGCTTAAGCTTCTGCCATGCAGTACTGGCTTGCTACCATGGAAGCTGTCTCAGCACCTGCATTGGCTGTGCTCAGGTTTACCCCTGATATTTGGCAAGTTCAATTAAAAGGGCATTGGCGTTTGTTTCCAACTATTTATATATGTATTTTTTAAAATATTTATTTTTTAGTTGTAGATGGACACAATACATTTATTTATTTTTATGTGGTGCTAAGGATTGAACCTAGGGCCTCAAATGTACTAGGCAAGCGCTCTACTGCTGAGCCACAACCCCCAGCCCTTATGTATGTGTTTTTATTTTGTCATTGGAGATTGAAGCTAGGGCCTCCTGCATACTAAACACATGCTCTACCACTGAGTTATATGCCCAGTCTTTTAATTATATCAACATGCAGCCATATGAACCTTTTTTTTTTTTTTTTTTTTGGATAAGAGAGATTGAACCCATGGGCACTTAACCATCAAGCCACAACCCCAGACCTTTTTGTTTTCTATTTTGAGATGTAGTGTCTTGCCTAGTTGCTTAGGACCTAGCTAAGTTCCCGAGGCTGGCTTTGAACTTGCCATCTTCCTGCCTCAGCCTCCTGAGTCACTGGGATTATAGGCATGCACCATTATGCCTGGCCAACCTGAATTTCTTTTTTCTTTTTTCTTTTTCTTTTTCTTTTTTTTTTTTTGAGAGAAATTTTTTTGTATTTATTTTTTAGTTTTCGGTGGACACATCATCTTTTTTTTATTTTTATGTGGTGCTGAGGATCGAACCCAGCGCCCCGCGCATGCCAGGCGAGCACACTACTGCTTGAGCCACATCCCCAGCCCCTGAATTTCTTAATATCCCCTAATAACCAGTTAAGTTCATCTAGTTGCCTTAGTTAAGTTTTACTTAATTAAATTAAGTTTGTTAAATCAGGATCCAAGCAAGGGTTGCTCATTTCATTTGGTGGAATATTATTATAGTCTGCATCAAGCCCTCTACTCCCTTTTATGCCATTTGTTAAAGAAGTAGAACAATTTGTTCTACTTAATGTGCCATATTCTGGATTTGGGCTGGTTGCTTCCCTTGCCATCTACAGGCATTACTTCAGATATTGTAGGTTTGGCTCCAAAATACTAAAAATACAAAATATTAAAATAAATCAAATGTTGCAATAATGTAAGTCATGTGAAATTTTTGTTTCCTAGTGTATATAAAAGGTATGTTTACTTTATACTATAGTTTATTAAGTCTGTAATAGCATTAGGTCTTAAAAGTACATACCTTGGGGCTGGGGTTGTGGCTCAGTGGTAGAGCGCTTGCTTGGCACTGGGTTTGATCCTTAACACCACATAAAATAAATAAAGGTATTGTGTCCATCTACAGCTAAAATATATATATATTTTAAAGTGTACGTACCTTAACTGAAAAATGGTAAACAGTACTAATGATCATCTGAACTGTTAGGAAAAATGGCAGCAATAGAATTGCTCAATGCAGAGTTGCCACAAAACTTCAATTTGTTTGGAAAAAAAAACAAAAAAACCCATTATCTGCAAAAGTGCAATAAACTGAAGTGCAATCAAATGAGATATTCCTGTATTTGGCTGCTCAGGAAATCAGTTCTTAATAGAAAAAAAAGATGCTGAATTCTGATTGATTTCTCAGTATTTAATTGATATCTAGCAACTCCAAAGATGGTTGTTAAGGTTTTTATTGGGGTGGGAGGCAGACAGTAATTTTCTACGTACTTATGTATTTGAAGTCTGTTCTTTGTAGTTATTATTCTTTCTGATGCTCAAATTACCCCATCTTTGGCAATATGAGCCCCTGCAAGTGGGCTCCTGTGTTCTTTATTTTAGGGGCAGTGCTGGGGATGGAACCCAGAGCCTTGCACATGTGGGGCAAATGCTCTACCGCTGAGTTATATCCCTTAGTCCTCCTGTCCTTTAAAAGGAATCGCAGCAATCTTTTTATTTTATTTTATTTTTTTAGTTGTAGATGGACAAATGCCTTTATTTTATGTGGTGCTGAGGATTGAACCCAGTGCCTCACATGTGCTAGGCAAGCGCTCTACCACTGAGCCACAACCCCAGCCCAGTTATCTTTGTTTCAGATTCACCTTGTATATTTCCTCCTCCCGTGTTAGGATGATCCATTTTCTAAGGAACCCTAGTTCTTAAGTGTTTTTAATATTTTGTCTAGGTTGTTTTATAGTAGAAGGATTAGGATGTCTCTAGTCCAGGGTGTTGCTGGAAATGAAAGTATTCTCTCTGCTCCTATGTCTTCATGTGAAACTTCCATCACTTCTTTGGCCTTTTCACCTTCAAACCTCAGTGGTAATAGAAGGAACCTTAAGTGGGACCAGCATGAACCTGTCTTCAGAGCCCTTTATTTCAGTATTCCCTAAGGGCAGCCTTAGCATGGGGTGGGGGGTAGTAGAAGAAATTGTTCTTCTGGTTGCTCTGTAATTTGTTTTTATCCTGTCTAACCTTTCATCTCCAGGTGAACCAGTGTGTGATTGGTACTGCTCAGGCCAACAAGAAATGAAGATGGATCCAGATCTTATTTGTGTGTGTATGCGCACTCATATGTTTTTGTGTGTATGTGTTGGGGAGTGGGGAATGCCTTATTGGGTGGAGGGCACTATGTACCCCAGCTTATCAAATAAAGAACAGTTCTTGATTTTTATTTTTTTAAATTATTTATTTATATGTGGTGCTGAGGATCGAACCCAGGGCCTTGCACGTGCGAGGCAAGCCCTCTACCGCCGTGCCATAACCCCAGTCCCCAGTTCTTGCTTTTTAAATAAACGTTTTAGCGGTTGGCAGAGGAAGCAATTTTTCACATCTGTAAAGATAGAGCTGTGAATTGTCCACTCTGCTGTTTGTGTGTTGGTTTTGTTGTGCAGTACTAGAGACTGTACATAGGGCTCCTTCATTGGTAGGCAAGCTCTACCACTGAGCTATATCCTCATCCCTTTTTATTTTGACAGTGTCTCACTAAATTGCCCAGGCTGGCCTCAMACTTGCAATCTCCTGCCTCAGCTTTTCAAATATGCTCTTGTGCTCTTACGCCCAGCGCGATTGTGTTTTGCAGAGCCATGACTGGCTTTTCTCCCATTTCTTTCCTGGTCTGGAACATTCTCCACTCTGTAATACCCCCTCCGTGTCGTTCGCAACTGGAGGCTGTGCCCATAGCTACCACCCTTACCTTCTAAGTTTCCCCTTCTCGCAGGTCATCCCACCCCCAAGCAGGAACGCTCTGTGGGTAGGTGTGGAAAGGTGGGGATCTGAGGCTAGAGGCGTGGCCGGAGTGTGCTACCACAAACTGCTGGCTTTTTCCTCCCGCCCTTTTCCTTCTTCGTGTTCGAACGTCCCGGGCCCTGCCCGCCCGCTGCCCATTGGCTGGCTCTAGTGGGCGTCACCACCTTGGGTACTATATCTCTACGTCCTTGCACCGCCCTGAAACCGCGGGTTGGGCCGAGCATGCGAAGAGGGCGCACACACCCGCCTACTGCCTCGCGCCAACCGCGATGGGCCGCCGCCCCATAAAGGAGGGGCTCAGTCTTCCCAGGTGCCGTACGCGGGAGGAGCCACGCGTGCGCACGAGAGCAGCGGAGGGGGGGGAAACTTGCCACGGAGAGGGCGGGGCCAGGGCAAAGGCGGGAGGAGGGCGGGGCGCTAGGGAGGAGGGCGTGGCAGGGGCAATGGGAAGGGTGAATGGAGGGCGGGATTGTGAACTGGGGCTGGGGGCGGGACTTGGAATGACCATGGGGGTGGGGCAGTTAACGGATGTGGCATGGGGCGGGGGGCCAATCTGGAGGCAGGCGGCCGAGGAGGGGGATTCCCTCTTGCCCCAAGGGCGCGTCTCCCATTGGAGGAAGGGGCTGCGGGGATTCCCTCTCCCTCTGGATCCGGCTATCCGCGCCCCCCTCCGCGGAGGGGCAGCCTCTTGCTCGGCGCCCTCCAGGCCGGTTGGAGGTGAGGGAGGTGGGGTGAGGTGGTACCCGCCCCCCACTTCGGCTCCTCCTTCCCCCACCTCGTCCTCCCCTCCCATCACCCTCCCCCCCAGTCGGTCCGTCCCTCCCCTCTCTCCCCCCGCCGCCTCCTCCTGCCGCTGCCGCTGCTTTGGCTGCTGCGTCATACGCCCCAGAGCTGCCGGGACCAAGGGGCTGGGCCTGGGGACCCCCCGGCCTCCACCTGCACGCCCCCTGACGCCAGGACTTGCCCTCCCCGCGCGGGGGGCTAGCCCAGGTCTTCTGCGTCGGCCCCTGCCCAGCTCCCGGCGGCCCCAGCTGTCACTGGTAAGAAGGCGGCATGAGGCGCCAGTGGGGGGGCAGGGAACCGGGGGTCGGCGCGCAGGGCGCGGGCGGGAGAGCCCCGCCACCCTGGCCTCGGGTCCGGGCTGGGCCGACTCAAGTCCCTTCTTGGACTTGCGGTSGTGGGGAGTAGAGACCGGGACTGGGACACGCCCCCCTCCCGGGGCACTCAGGGAAGTTATCTAACCCAGGGGCGGGGAGCCCCGAATTTGAGGGTGACCTGACATAACCTGGCACAAGGATGATTGTTCTGAATGAGACATGCAGGCCTAGGGGGAAAGTGGTGTTTCTACTCTGAAAAGCGTCTCTGAGCAACCGAGTAGCCCAATTATCATACCTCTAAACAGCTGGGGAAGGTGAAACTGAGTGGTAACCTCTGGTTCTGCAGCCGTCATTTCTCCTAGGAGCTCAAGGCTAGGAGCTAAATATCCCAGGAGAGCTCTGGAGGCTGGGAAACTAGAGAACTGGGTTGGGGGGTTGGGGTTAGGAAGAGGAGAGCCAGCCACTAGAGTTGGAAGAGCTAGTGAGTGGTGCCCAGTGGTGTCCTATTCAAGTATGTGAGGGATCCGGAGACTGGCTTGAAGATGCTTGCTTGGTCCGTGGTAGGAGAAAAAGGCAAGGAAAATGGGGAAGCTTTCTCAGCATTTATAACCTTTTTTCCATCTCTTGTTTCGGTTTAGGTCACCCCAGGATGCAATGGCGCAGCCCCCCCGGCTGAGCCGCTCTGGTGCCCCCTCTCTCTGGGACCCAGCTTCCCCTGCTCCCACCTCAGGCCCCAGGCCTCGACTTTGGGAGGGTCAAGATGTGCTGGCTAGATGGACTGATGGGCTGCTATACTTGGGCACTATCAAGAAGGTAAGACCTTTAATCTCTGACCTCTCACCTTTTCTCTATTCCCTTTATGTGTTTCCTATTTCATCTTTTGTGCTCACCCATTCCAGGTGGACAGTGCTCGAGAGGTGTGTCTGGTCCAGTTTGAGGATGATTCCCAGTTTCTGGTTCTTTGGAAAGACATTAGCCCTGGTGAGACCCTAAAGACCTGCATCCAATGGAAAACAGAAACTTGGCTTGGTGGGCACAACAGGACTTGAGGGCTGGCCTCCTGACATTATGTTCCCTCACAGCTGCTCTCCCTGGGGAGGAACTCCTCTGTTGTGTCTGCCGCTCTGAGACTGTGGTCCCTGGGAACCGGCTGGTCAGCTGTGAGAAGTGTCGCCACGGTGAGAGGACAGACCACCTGAATGGTCTAATTTGCCCTGCACCTTCTAGATTGCCACCAGCCCTTTCCTCTAGCACTGGTGCTTATGTCCCCTGTCCTGGTTTAAGTTCCCAGGCCACCACTCTGGCCAGTCTCAACCCTGTAACCTCATCCCCTTCCAGCACTGGGAGAGGTAGCTAGAGAGAGGATGCTATGAAGTTCTATAGGCAGAGGGTAGCTCACATCCTTTTTTTTAGTCATATGACTTTGGGCAAGACCCCAAACATCTAGGAGCATTAGTTGACTCATTTATAAAATCAGAATAATATACCCACCCCAGATTATTCTGTCTCCGTATCAACCACACACAGGCATTTAATACAATAACAACAATAAACGTTGTCGTTTTTCAGCTTATCACCAGGACTGCCACATTCCCAGGGCCCCAGCCCCTGGAGAAGGAGAGGGCGCTTCCTGGGTCTGCCGCCAGTGTGTCTTTGCAATTGCCACCAAGGTAATGGCATCTCTTTGTTGCCCCTTACTGTGGGAGCTTCCCACCTACAGCCTCTCCTAAGCCATTCATCTCCTACCCTTCTGAGGCCTCCTACCTGTTCTTTCTCTACAGCGGGGGGGTGCACTGAAGAAGGGTCCCTATGCCCGGGCCATGCTGGGTATGAAGCTGTCTCTGCCATATGGACTAAAGGGGCTGGACTGGGACGCTGGACATCTGAGCAACCGACAGCAAAGCTACTGTTACTGTGGTGGCCCTGGGGAGTGAGTAATGAGGGGTGACAAGTTATGGAATGATTGATATGGTTGGTAGATTGTGAGAAATGAAAGAACAGGGTGAAGGAAACACTGCAGGGGAGGGGAAGTAGGTGACAAGGAGAGTTTGGGGCAGTTAAACAGGTACAGGAAGTATTTGGAGGCCACAGTTCTGTTCCCCAACAGGTGGAATCTGAAAATGCTGCAGTGCCGGAGCTGCCTACAGTGGTTCCATGAGGCCTGCACCCAGTGTCTGAGCAAACCCCTCCTCTATGGGGACAGGTGAGGCCAGCACAGACTCTCCAAGAGCCTAGGACCCCCTCTGGCTCTGCTCCACCCTGTTCCCCCACACCCTCTGCATTCCAGGCTTTTCTATTGCAACCTTTCCTCACCTGCTTACCTCTCTCTTGCCTGGGAGTTTTGCATTGTCTGTATGAAATTTACCCAAATAAGGTGTGTGTTCTCCCTTTTGCTGACATCCAGGTTCTATGAGTTTGAATGCTGTGTGTGCAGGGGGGGCCCTGAGAAGGTCCGGAGGCTACAGCTTCGCTGGTAAGCTGGACTGGGCATGTCCTCAGCATAACTCCTTCCTCAACACCCCCAGTTCTTCACCCTACATGCCCTCAACCACTTACCTCAGAACTCCCCTAACTTGTGTAATTATTTCATGGCCTTAACAACTGGATGTTTCTCTAGGGTGGATGTGGCCCATCTTGTTCTCTATCACCTCAGTGTTTGCTGTAAGAAGAAATACTTTGATTTTGACCGTGAGATCCTCCCTTTCACCTCTGAGAACTGGGACAGTCTGCTCCTGGGGGAGGTAGGAAATAGTGGAATTTGGGGGATTGGGGTGGGACAGAGAATAAAGAGAAAGGGGGAATCACTGCTCTCCTAACCTTTTTCTCTTCCCCCAGCTTTCAGATACCCCCAAAGGAGAACGTTCTTCCAAGCTTCTCTCTGCTCTTAACAGCCACAAGGACCGGTGAGTTGGAAGGAGCAGGGAGGCAAGAGGGAGGCCCAGAGAGATGAAGATCTGGATGTCTGGGAGGGGAAAGGCTGCAAGCACCTGGGGACCATCTCTGAAAGGGACTAAAGAATAGTATGGGGGAGTCTTGCAGCACAACTCATACCATTTCTCTCCTCGCCCAGTTTCATTTCAGGAAGGGAGATTAAGAAGAGGAAATGTTTGTTTGGTCTCCATGCTCGGACTCCTCCTCCTGTGGAGCCCCCTGCTGGAGATGGAGCCCCCACCAGGTCACTGGTCCAGGGAGGATGGGGGAAATTCTCAGGAATTAGTCTAGGGGGGTACATGTATAAAGTTGGGAAGGTCTTTGGGGTGTCCGGGAGGGGGCTGGGGGGATAAGGAGGCCTCTTACAGCTTCCCTTCAGGGCAGGGCCCTGGGGGAGGGGTCTCACGTCCCCTGGGGAAGCGCCGGAGGCCGGAGCCAGAGCCCCTGAGGAGGAGGCAGAAGGGAAAAGTGGAGGAGCTGGGGCCACCCTCAACAGTGCACAATCAGCCCGAGTCCCAGGAGCAGAGGGAGCGGGCTCGTCTGCAGAGGGCACTGCAGGTACAGGGGCATGGGGAACCCCATGGGTCAAAAGATGGGGTGTGGGAAGGAATCAAAGATTCTCTCTCAGTCCTCTGCCCCTTCTTGTAGGCCTCAGTGTCTCCACCACCCCCCAGCCCTAACCAGAGTTACCAGGGCAGCAGCGGCTACAACTTCCGGCCCACCGATGCCCGCTGCTTGCCCAGGTTAGTGCTCCTCTGCCCCCCAACCAGATATATGCTCCCAGTTCTTTACATCCTCCAGACTTGTCACTTAGAATTCTTTCCCTTCTCCCTTGGTTACTCACTACTTGTCCTAGTGAGATGTCTAGAACCAATGTCTGGTACCCAATATTATTCTGGGGATGGGGATATTCTGGGAGTAGTGTTTAAAGTCTATTTCCCTGGGGGGAGAAGATCTTGTTTCCTTGCTTCAGGTCTTGACTTTCTTCCTCTCCAACCCCAGCAGCCCCATCCGGATGTTCGCTTCCTTTCACCCTTCTGCCAGCACCGCAGGGACCTCTGGGGACAGTGAACCCCCAGACAGGTGAGATTCTATCCCTTATTACCAGCAATACCTCTTCCCCTCTGTGGTCACAGGTCTTTTATTCTCAAACCATTTCTTTGCTCCTCTGATCCACAAGTGGCCCCCATTTCTGGTGAGTCTTTGTCTACACCTGTCTCAACTTAGAATTACATTCTCTCCCTAGGTCACCCCTGGAACTTCATATTGGCTTCCCCACAGACATCCCTAAAAGTGCTCCCCACTCAATGACTGCCTCATCTTCCTCAGTCTCATCCCCCTCCCCAGGTCTTCCTAGACGCTCAGCACCCCCTTCTCCCCTGTGCCGTAGTTTGTCTCCTGGGACTGGGGGAGGAGTCCGAGGTGGGGTTGGCTACCTGTCTCGAGGGGACCCTGTCCGGGTCCTTGCTCGGAGAGTACGGCCTGATGGCTCTGTGCAGTACCTGGTTGAGTGGGGAGGGGGGGGCATCTTCTGAACAGACTGCCTCTGCCCATCTCCCCATTCACACACACGGCACTTTCGTACCCTGACCTCTGACCTCACCTACAGCTGGGATGTACCTGGAGAGATAGGGGGTAGTTCTCCCTATTGGCCAGGCTGGAATCCAGGAGATGGGTGGGGAAGAGGCTCTCTCTTCTCTACCCCCTTCAAGATTCCTGACCCCTCATCCTCTTCCCATTTCCTTTGATGTTATTTTGTTACAGCTTTTTAAATATTTTTTAAAATTATTTAACCCCTGGGTGCAGAGACTGAAGAGGGAGGGATAAGGGATTCCGGACTCTGTATGATTGAAATAAAGAGAAATAAACAAACCTAGTGGTTATGTCTGAAACATGGACAGAATACAGAGACCTACACTTCTGACCTTCCCTAACCAAATGTGCATATGTGACAAGAAATTAAGGCAAAAGGCAATAAGAACCAGACAGGATTTATTAGGGGCCCAGTCGTCATCATCACGTGGAAGTCAAGAGTTTTTTTTTTTTTTTAATTAAAGAATCATGGCAGACCCCAATGATACAAATGTATGAATTGCCAAGATCATTGTAATGTCATGTGTAGATAATTAAAAAAAAAAAAAAAAAAGAATCATGGCAGGAACAGGGCTCATCATGGTTGGACTGTGCTGGAGTCAGAAACTGACTCTGTGACCTGGCGTACCCAGTGAAGGTAGGGGGAGTTCCCCTGTTCCACAGGCAAGGCAATCACCTCAGCCACTTCATAAGGATGCACAGAACTGCAAAAATAATAGGGAAGGAGGAAGATTACTCAAATATTTACCCTAAGAAGCCCACCCCTCAGACAACTGCAGACTGCTCAGCAATTCCCAATCCACAATACCACATCCTCTCCCCTATCTAAAAGTTCTTACCGAACAAAATCTGTCAAGGCTGGGACCAAGGAACTTTGGGTTTTAATCATCTAAGGGGTAAAGTAAAACACTGTTGAATCAAGACATCAGAGGTCAAGGGAACTGGAGCAATTTGGGGTGGGGGATGTTTCTCACCATCAGCACTTCACTGTCTTCTTCCATCTCTCCCTTCCACTCATAGCTGAAGAAGTCAGAGAAAGGGAGAGAAAGTCTTGGGAATTAAAAACTTTCCCCTAGGAAAAGGCTCCCTGTCAGCCTCTAAAGTTAGATTAACCTTCCAATTCTTATGACTCACATGGATGTAATCTGAGGGATGAGGTTGACGCAGGCTGCTAGGCGCTTCTCCACCAAAGCTCTGAAGGTGAAGAGAAAGCCCCATTCAGAGTGCCCCGGGAAAAGGACTTTTGTTCTGGCAGCCCAGAGATGGCTTCCAAAGATGGAGAGCAGGAAGAACCACCCTTCTCCGCCCCCAATTCTCCCTTCATGACAATATTTTCTAGCCCTACATCAAGGTCCCCACCTGGCAATTTCCTTGGCGACCTTTTCGTTGGGGCAAGTGACAAAGGCTGCAGAAACCGATCCTGGAACATAGCTAGAGCCAGATGCCTTAGTGGGCTGGGACGGGGGGCTTCCAGAGGCCATGGTCAGCAGTGCTCGGGGTAGCAACAGAAGGCGGGAGGCCACAGGCAGCAACGCAGGCATCCAAAGACAAGACAGGAACAGAGCGGCCTGAGAACAGGGGGCGAATTCGGTCTCTTCCCCACAAATACCCCCGGAAATGGCACCCCAGAATGCTTTGGCTGGGACAGAGCCTCAGGCTGTGCCCTTCTTATTCTGCACACTGAAGGAAAATGTCCCTGAAAATTAAGCCCAAGACTCAGTTTTCACTCACACCTCAGCGGGCCAACCCCTGGGATTTGGGGTGCGGGGGTGGTCTAAACTTCGAAGACCGGAAGGGGGGAGGCGGGGCCAGGCACTCACCCCTCCGCCGAGTAGAGCTGCAGACGCTGGACCGCCCCGCATGCAGCCTATACTGGTAAAGGAGGATTGATATCAAAGGCCACACATTACACGGAGAAAGGACCCCAAACCCAAGAAGAGGGGCCTCTTCTTACCTGGGTGGCAGCCACGTGATAAGAAAACAGCGCACCCCACGTGACAGTAGAAGCTGGAGGGCCGGGAGTCTCCAGAATCAGCCAATCCTGGCCCTCACGTGGCGCGGATTGCCCCGCCTCCTGATTAGGGAGGAGCGAAGGGGATTTGGCCAATGGACAGCTGGATCCGCAGAAGTGCGCGTAAATGGCACGCCCGTTTCCGTGAAACCCAAACCCGCCAGTGGCTGGCGGAGGAGAGCCTCTGCGGYGTTCCACTGTCACGTGACGGGGCGGGTCCGCTCCAGCGGTCCTACCTCCCGGAATGATGCGAAGATGCCAATCGCGAGCCAGTCCCACAGGCCACGTGATGAGAAAGCTAGAACTAGGGGGGTCGGAGACCCCGCAGACTCTATGCGTCAGGCGGTGAAGTCCTTATACCCCAGAATGTGCCTAGTAACAGCCCCAGCACTATTTCAGAGGCCTTAAGGAGTGGGAGGGTCTGAGAAGACTGAACCTCAGGGGTGAAGAGAGCGCCCCCTGTTCAATTAGGATTGAGCTGTGCCTGGGTTGAGGAATGAACAACTATGATCTGAGGAGATGCCAGCTGTCCCTGGGTAGGGGGCAGTGATTAGGCAGGCGAAGGCATGGCATGACAGTGGCTAGGTGAGGAGAGATGCATTTTAATCGGACAGGAGTGAGACCCTGTCAGTGGGATACAGGATGATGGGAAGAGCTTAAGGGCACTCTTAACTGAAAACCCAAAGCTTGAGGTAGACTGGTGATTCAGAGTTGAGGGTTGCAGGTTAGGGAGAGTAGCCATGGTCCTTCTGTCCCCTCTCCTCTGCAGGATTGGTCCACCTCTGAGCCTTGGGTCTCCTTTCCTTAACCCAWCCCCCAAGGAGCCAGGACCTGCCCTACATAACCTCCCTGGGGCCCAAGCACATTCAGTGACCCAAAAATAGAGGGGCCAATAAGAGGCCAGAGAAGTGGGAGGAGACAACAGACAAAAAGATTCTGCTACCCAATAGTCCCCATCCCTTGAAGATCTGGGGTCACTGATATGGTGGGCGTGACTGTGACTGGGAGTTTCCCAAGCTGAGGTCAGAGTTCTCTCATATTTACCTCCCTGGAGTTGGGGGTCTCCTGTGATCTCTGGATTTGGGGCTTATCTCAGATCTCTGAGGGGTTTTCCAATATTTGTGTTGGAATATTTCTCAGGACTGAGTTTCTTTTATGTTCTTTAGGGAGCTTCTGTGTTTCAGGATCCAGTGGTCACTCTCCCTGAGGTTTTTCAAATTATTGTGAGTTTTCAGTCTCTAAATTCGGGGTCTGGGCTAGCTAAGTGTCTCTTTCTCTGTCTCCCACTAAAACTGGAATTTCTCTCAGAGTTCACCAGTCTCTGAGTCTGGTCCCCCCCCCCCTTGGGATCTGAGTTTGGGGTCTCAGATCTCTCGCTGGGCCTGAGTTCTGAGACCTAATTCTAGGTCTGGGTCTTTCTAATCTGGGTTTCATCTTTTTTTTGGGTCTAGGTCTCAGGTTTTAGTCTCTAAAATCTAAGATTTCTGTGGCTGTGAAGAACCTTTTGAGAGTGGATCCTTAAGATCTTGATCTTTGACTCCCCTCTGATGGGTCTGGGGTCTTTTTTTTTCCCCTCCTATATCAGGGATCTCCTTCCCTTTAGATTTGGGGTCTGTGTCTCAAATTAACCTGCCTGGGGTTGGGAATGAATTTTCTCTCTCTGAGTCTGGGGTCTGTCAATCTCAGGGTCTGGGGTCTTCATCTTCATGACTGTTTGCTCTCATGTGTGTTTGAGGCAGGGGTCTTTTTCACTCTCTTTAGCTCCCTGGGTCTCCCTGGGTAGGGATGGGGGCTGCAGTCTCTCCCTCCTCCTCCTCCTCCTCCTCCTGCTCTCTTCTCTCGCTCGCTTCCCCCGCCCCCCTCTCTCTCTCTCCCTCTCTCTCTCTCTGCTGCCGCTGCTGCCGTTGGCTCTTATTCTCCTCCTCCTCCTCCTCTCTCCTCCTCTCTGCTCCTCTCTGCTCCTCTCTCCTCCTCTCTCCTCCTCCTCCTCCTCCACCTCCTCCTCCTTCTCCCCCTCTCTCTCCCCCTCTTTCTCTCTTCTCTTTCTCCCCCGTCCCCCCGCCCCCTCCCCCCAGGCCTGATGAGCAGGTCTCGCGCCTCCATCCATCGGGGGAGCATCCCCGCGATGTCCTATGCCCCCTTCAGAGGTACGGTGGTGGGGGAGGGGGAGGGCCAGATGGGGGGGCAAGAGGGGGAGGGGCAGGGGGCGGGGGAGAGCCGGGGCCAGGGAAGGGAGGGAGCGGCTGAAATGGAGGGAGAGGAGGACCGGGAAGGCTGGGGTGGGAGCCATGGGGAAGGAGAGACTGGAAGCTAGAGGGATAGGGGTAGGTAAGGAACGGAGGGGCTAGGAAACAGGCCTTGCAGGGTGCTTAGAGAAAAACGAAGGGGAAAGAGAGCGCCAGAAAGGGGTGGAAAGGTAGGAGGATAGGGTTGGGGGAAGAGCTACAGAAATAATTTGGCGGTGGGAGCTGAGGGATGGGGAAAACATCAAGGAAATAGAGGCACAGAGTCTTAGGAGAGAAGATGAGAAGGAGAAATGAAAACATAAGGGTGAAAAGAGAAGCCAAGATTATGAGGGGAGAATACCGTGGGGGGCTTAGAATGGTAGGGGTTATAAAATGAAGAGGATGAAAGGAAAGAAGAGGCCAGATGGAGAGAGAGGGAGGCAGTGGGGGGGGATGGAGGGTCCAGATGGAGGGAAGAGAGGAGAGAGGGAAAGGATTGGGGGAGGGGAGGCCAGGGTACGGGGAGGGCCAAATTATGTGTATATTTTTGGGGGGCAGATACAAGGAAGATTGAGTGATGCAAGTTAGGGACTAGGTTAGGATCCTGCTCCCACTTTGACCCTCATTAAGTTCCTTAACAAGTAAAATGCAACCCTAGGGGTCTTATCTGTGCTCTTCATCTCACCACTTTTACCCCCCTCCCCCACCCCATATCCTTATTTCCATTCCTCCTCCCTTCTTATGCTGTCCATCACTTATATCTTTCCCCCCCTATGATGTCCGTTCCTTATATGAGTCCCCTTTCTGTCCTTCCCCCATATCAGTTCCCACTCTGATGTCCATTCTCTCTTGCATTTGTATCTGGTAGCCGCCTTATATCTATACCATGTCTCTTGAACTCCTTCTTGACCTCCATGTCTTAATCTCCCTATTAGGTCTTCCTTGTTTCTTCTGCCCCATGTGTGTTTGAGCCTTTTTGGTGTATTCCCCTGTCCCTAGGCATTTATCATCATCTTTTCCTCCTTATCTTTTAGATACTTCCT